TTGCATTTTAAGGCATTTCTGGAAGTTGTTATTTTTTTGCATTTTTTCATAATAGTAAGGCTCATTTCTCATGTTTACTTTCCTCTCTGATCACAGGAAGATGCTCCAATCTCTGGGAAGACCAGAGCTCCACATGGCCCTGGAGGTGACCATCGTGAGTGGTTCAGGTCAGGAACATGCCGGGTGTTTGCTGCTGACCTCTGAGGTTCTGTTTGTGGTCAGTCTCAGTGAGGACACACAGCAGCAGGCTTTTCCCATCACAGAGGTATTAGACAGTAGAACACCCCTCAGGAGTCTTGGTACGCTGCTGTGTTATGCAGTACTTAATGTTCCCGTTCCTCTGCAGGTGGAGTGTCAGCAGGAACCAGGTCAGGAAGCCGAACTCAGCCTCACACTTCAGCAGCAGACAGTCTCCAGTGACACAGAGGTGAGGCTGACACTGAGCAAATAAACGAGACAGTTAACATTATTTAGAATAATCCTTATTGACCTCCTTATTCTTCTACTTGAAGAGCCAAAACACATCAAAAAGGTGAGGTAAAGTCATTCCTTTCAAAACATTTATTTCTAAATGTTTTGATCTTCACAACTGCATTATTTCCACATTAGTACAGGTGCTCATGCTACATGTACATCATGTGAGTGGTGATGACAACAATCACCACCGGTCAGTCCAACTCTTCATTAGTCATTGGTTGGTTTCCAGGACAACAAAGCTTTTACCCATCATCCCACACACTGTGTACTTGATTGCACATGTATAGAAACCACCTGCAGTTTGCCACAGTGGTAGTAATAATCCTGTGTGTCTCGGTCTCAGGGGGACGGTGTTCGTGAGCGCCTGTCAGAGCTGCAGTATCGACGTCTGGTGGATTACGTGATCAGAGCCTCCCAATTCCTTTCTCCGTCTGTTGCGTCTCTCCAGCTGCAGCCTCCGGTGACTCTCGCTGAGCCTCCACCTTCTGCCTGCAAGTCCTACCGCTACCTGGTAGATCCTGCGTTCTCCAAGGTGTTTGTCAGTAAGTTTAACATGGTGAAGAGTAGGGCTCTGCGCATCGGGTTCCACTGATAAACTTCCTGTCAGGGGCTACATCCACACTAATGTTTTTCTGGATAAGAATCTCATCCAGTCTCACTTGGTTCAGTTGGCCTTGACTTGTTGATTTGTCACAAAGTGCTTTTCCTCCAGAAGTAAACAAACAGCTTTAACCAAGGCAAGGTTTAGGTCCATGGTACTAACAGCATTCTGAGGGGAATAAATGAAGAGATTAAATGTAAGTTAAAGCTGGTTAATTCCTGTCAGATCAAATATATTAAAACAACGTACAGATTAACTGCATTACAATTGATAGATGTTAACAGAGTAACAACAAGGACAGAGTCCACACAGCCACTGTAAATACTGTTTGTCACAGTCCTTGGTTGTTGCACTCTTGGAAAAACAGTACCTCTGTGGTTTCCACTGGTGTCAGAATTTAAAGACATCAATTAAAAGATAAAACAGAAGTGTGGTTGTAGCCAAATACCGATGTGATTAGCCTTAACAATGGATAACACTGTAATGTTTTCTAAACAAAAAAAAAGTTAGGAAATACATTTTTTACCATTTAAATATATTTTATTGGTTATATACTGTATGTATGTATATTATATATAGATCTATCTTTCTAGACTTATATCTTGATAAAGCTTTTCCAGATTTATCCAGAACAATATAGTCTAGAAAATATTAGAAAATGTATTTCTGTCCAGATAAACTCAGAAGAACTTATAGGCTAAGTCTTTCTGGATTTATCTAAAATGTCTTTGGCTCTTTCTAGATAGATCTAGAAAGAACTAATCTGGGGGGGGGGGGGGCAGGATTTGTCTGGACAGGTTTCTGGTGTAATCTTTTTTTCTGGATACATCTAGAATAACTCTTCTAGAGCCATCGATCTAGATAGATATAAAATCAAATAGATGTGACATCAGTTTGACAGACACAAGCATTCCCTTATGATCTGACATTTACACTTTAGTCAGCACTACATGACATGTGGAGGAAGGATTATTTTAATCTGTCAGTGTGAAACCTCCTCACTGTTACAGACAGGTCTGTTTACTCCGTCCTACAGCAGACCTGGGCACAAAGGGTTACTGTGGCTGCAGGTTTTTCTTCCAACCTATCCAGAACACACTGACTGACCAATCAACTGTCTGAAGACTCATAGCAGTTGATTAATTAAGCCATGTCAGGTGTGCTACTGCTTGGTTAGAACAAAAACCTGCAGCCACTGTAGCCCTTAGTGGACCTAATTGTCCACCCCTGTTCTACAACTACTGTCTCCTGACTCTGGTTAAGTGCAATATTTAGACCATGTTGATAGAGATTTTGATAAATTCCCAGCTGTCAACCAAACACTTTTTTTTATTAAGATATAACTTAGTAGTTTTCTAACCAGACACTGATGCCAATGTCTGACTTTTCACTTTAATGTAAAGGTCTGTTGCCTTTCATGTTTATTGAAAAAATCTGAAACTTGTTTAAATAAAGTTATTCAAATAAAAAAGTCTGTCAATATTGTCTTATTATTGTGTGGATGTGAAACTTGAAAATCTACGGCAACAATTGGATTAGATTTGACAGTTCAGTCTTAACTTAGAAGACATCAACACTGTGTCGTTACAGTGCTTGATGAAAAGTTGGTACATTTCAAAAACTATAACAAAAGCTCAGAATATATAATATATATTAAACTTGTATGACTTTGCTGTTGTGGCAATAATAGAGAAACGGATGCCTTGACCACAACCCAAATAGTTGGTGAGAAAAAGTAATACACTTCAGTTAAACAATCGCAATGGGTGAAATTCAAAGAAAATGGACTGTGACAGGGAAGTACACGTGTCTCTGTCCCAGCTGATACTGAGTTAAAGGATCAGTGACTGTGTTTGAACATGTTTAACAAACAGAATGAAGTTGTTCAGTCAAATCACTCAAGTTCTTTCTCTATTTTTTTGGCTGAGCCTCAGATTTACACATCTAACCTTTTCATTGTGCTTTTAGACAGAGTACAAACGTTTCTGGAAATATGTTTCTTTTATAAATGTGAATGTAAAGTTGAACAAATACCGTTCACTTCCTGCTGCCCGTGTTTCCTGGCTTGTTGTTCAGTTTGGGTGAGCGCTGTGACCGTTTACGACTGACGGCACTCTCTACTGTCCTGAAGCTGGTGAAAGACGAGTCGTCTGAGAAAAGAGCAAGATGGAGTGGGATGGAGAGAGACATGTAGACCATTAGATTAACTGCTCACTGATTTCCTTGTGATATGAAACTTTTTTTTGTTATATATTGTTGTAGCCCAACATTTTCTGCCTGTTGTCCCACATGTTCTGTAATGCGTTCACCATGGAACAGTTTTGGTCTGTCTTTCTAATTCTCTTCTCTGTCCTTTCATTAAAACACTGTTTGCACTCTGCTTCATTTCCCGTCGTCTTCATTAATCATAAAGCACGCTTCATTAACATGTCCACACAATGTGAACTCTGACTAACTCCTGCACACAACATTGACACTTAATGGACAGACTGAAGTGGCTGCTTTGGCTGCAGGTCAATAAAATGAGACACAGTTTGACATGTGGAGAGGGGGGTGGGCAGTATTGACAATATCCTGGCCTCAGTTGTGGAGTAATATCACAGCCGTTGAAAATTGAGTTGTAAAATGTACTGTGGGGACACCTTCATTTTACTGCTTCAATGTTTCCTAAATTAACTCAGAGCTCTTTCACAGCAGAGAGCAGTGGAAAAGACTGACGTGGGAGTTTGATCAAACCAGGAAAAACAAACAAACCTAGACAATAAAATCAAACCTTAAACATTTACATTGATATGTTGTCTTTGTTTAAAAACAATTCCAAAATGTCAAACTTTAAAACCATAGGCCATTTTGATCCTAGGCCAACTATACTGGAAGCGCCCTCTGCTGGGAAGACAGAGATGGTGCCACATGCTTGGGAATGACCAACACATACCTGAAAATACTACATACAGTAAAACACAAGAATACTATCAAACTTGTGTTCGCATCTTTGTATGTTTGGGGACAGTGTTTTGAAAAAAAAAAAAAAACCTAATTGTGTCATTGGGGACATTTTGCAGGTATGGGGCAAAGAAGTGTATTAATGTCTATGAACAAAATCCCACGTGTGTGTGTGTGTGTGTGTACCTGAGACAGTGGAGATGGAGGTCTCGAGCAGAGCCTTCTTGTTGGCCTTCTTATTTTTATTCAGCTGCAGCTCCTGTTTCTTCAGAGTGGCCATGTACTTGGAGTAGGACCAAGACATCTGAGGGACAAAATCCACCAAAGGATGTAAATGGAACATGTGCTGTAGCGTTTTTGTCTATGTCGTATTTAATAATTAATTAATGATAACATTTATCTTTTTATTTTTATTATCTTTTTTTTCTAATTACCTCCATAATCTGTATAATAAAGATCATTTAAGTGTAATAATATATTACATATTATATATTAATATATTATATATATAATAAATATATTAATATATACGATATACTAAATATTTTATAAACTCTGACAGAATTTAACTTCCACATGATTGTGTCCCATCACAACAGCAGTGCTCCTCACCGGTTGTGTTGGAGACAGCAGCGCTGTCTGCCATGTCCAGTCTCTTTTTTTTCCATCTTGTTCTTCAGAGTCGTCCATGTCACTGTCAGAGTTGTCAGACTCTTGTGCGTCCCACTCTTGCTGCACAGCACAATGTGAAAGAACAAACAAAATTGAACAACATCATCAATGTAGACTTTAATCATCTCGGCTAATTCCTCTCACCAGGGCCTTCCTTCGCCTCTCGTCGTCTTCTACTTCCTGTTCCACCTCCTCATCTCTCCTTCTTTCACGTCGCACTCTGGCTCTGTGTTTGACTCGTTTCTGCTGCAGCAGAGGAAGGAGGTGACTCTTCTTGACACTTTTGCTCAGCTCTTGAAATTTGGGCCAGAACTTTAGCAGTTCACTGAACACTGACAGCTACAGGGAAACAGAGCATGTTGACGTTAGGACACGCAATTAAAAGCAAATAAGTCAAATTATTCTATCACACACACAGTTAACACAGAGAACCTGTGCTTCTCTAAAGATGTAAGGTCCAATCTCATGACGCTTCTCTCGGATGTTCTGGGCCTGTTCAGGAGTGATGTCTATCCTCAGCTCAGGTGGCATTGATGAGTCAATGAAACAGTCAATGATGGTGGTGATCTTCTGCTCAATGACTGTATCAGAGCAGTGGGAATGACAGAGGTCCTTCAGAGGAGAAAAAGAAGAAGAGTGCAGACATTACTGATACAGAATGACTAGTTTATTCTTCTTCTCTATTTCTCAGATAATCTGATGAAAGAAAACTGAATATTAAACTCCTGTTTTATCCCATCTTTGTCATCATCACATCATAATCAAAGTTAAGCTGTCAACCTCTTCTAATAGAACTAGAGAACTGTTCCTGAAGTACATGTTTGTCATTTGGATCGACACTTACTGAACACGACAGCTTGTCAAAGATCAACACCATTTTGATTTGTACCTTGTACCGCTGGACCTCCAGCCAGAAGAGCAGGTCATTCTCCAGGAAGCCTTCCTTCAGGGAGACAAAGTGCTGGAACTGTGTACATGTGACAGGGTTGAGTAAGAGCTGCCGGAACTCCAGGATCTCTCTGGAGGAACTCATCCACAGAACGTCAGGCTGCAGGAGGGAAATACAGAGGACATGGTGAGCTGTTGGCAAAGCTGCTTAAAGAAAATAGAAACATAAAAAACTGAGAGGAACCGATCACAGGTGTGTAGACATATTAAAAATAAATACAAAGCAGCGTGTGGTCTGACAAATGCAGATCTTAGACCTCCAAGCTACAGCCGTAGCTCATAGATAACTGGTAATGATTCTCATTCATTGAGAAAACCTGCTCTCTGCCAGTGATGACATCATGATCATAAAGACAAGAGTCACAATCATGCAGGAAAACTCCTTCCTGTAATCATGAGAAACGCTCATGCTTTATATCCATACTTTTACTGTGGAGCTGAGGGAAAGCTGCATGGAAAAGCCTCCAAAGCCTATTAGCTGAAGGTTAGAAATGCTGATGCTTTAATCTTATTTATCCTGGATCCAATTTGGAAAAAATAACCACAAGGCCAAAATGGCATTTGACAAAGACTGTGCTTGAAGCCAAGTCATGAACTGACTCACACATGCTTTCAGTCCAGGAAATGCCTCATTTCTCTTCATTCACAGGAGGATTCCTTCTTACCTTAAAGACTTTTCTTTTAGTTTTGCGTCTACGACGGCGCACTGGGCGTCTTCCTGAAGGCTGGTACTGCAGAGCAGAGAGAGACAAATAAAGTCAGAGACAGATTGCACTTGGATTGACAAAGACACTGAGCACCTCTCCAACTGCTCTGTTCTTAACACTCTGCCCTGTAACTTAAGCTGTGACTGCTTTTTACCTTTACCCTCACTCAGTGTGATCTCACTCCTGCACTCTCCTCTTTACCTCTCCAATATCACATCTGCCTCCCAGCCCTGAAACTCCTCTGTCCTGGTCTTCACCTCCTAACTGTCCTCCTCACCTCTCACTTACCTACACCTGCTAAGTGTTACTGTAATCTACCTCTACCTCTCTCCTCCTACTGACAGAACCATTGTGAACAATCATTAGAGAAGTGATAACATTTCCAGGTAAAGCAGCAGGACACACTGTGGTTCTGTTGACACTTAATGAGGCAACCTGAGAGAGGCTGCGGTTTCTCACATGGCAGATGGGTCTTATTTCCCATGACTGCCTACTATCAGGGTCAATAGACATTAGCATTGTTGCTAACAGTAGCATTTACTCTGGGAACAATAGATATGAGAAATAGTACTACTATTCTTGCCATCATCAGAAAGGCCAGTACGTTAACTTACTAATTGTACATACATATTTCTGTGCTGTTATATTTAACAGAATTGACTTCCTGAAAGGAGCTCTTGTGAAGTCCATGTTTATATGTGTATGGGACAACCCTATCTCATTTCAGCGAAACCAGTCTGCAACCTGTGACTCAGAGGTCAGTTTCTTAATTTCTAAGAAATAAGCCTTTTTTTTAATCTACACCTATTAGGCAGGGGCCTCACCTATTTGTGGACAGGTGATAGATGAGCACTAACAGCCAAATTAGCCAGTGTGTATTTCAGGTGACACTAACACTGTAGAAAACAGTTCAGATGAAGAAGAGAACCACGGGGAGAGTAAGAGAATGTAGACAGTTGTGAAATGATCATTAAATCTATTGTGGTAAACCACTGTGGGGTCCCTGACTCACTTGGGAGAAGGAGGGGTGAACTTGAAAGATGTAACTGTTAGTTACAGTTTGTTATCAAGAATGATTTTGGCTCATGACATTGGATCAAATTATCAACATAACATATTACAGAATCTGAGGAGGCAGTGAGTTTATTACTCTGGGTCTGCTCCATTTACCAGAGGAGTAATTCATGGTAGACATCTTAGATTTGAATGGACTGTTCTCAGTGTCTTTGTAGTGTCCTCTGTAGCCTAGTAAGGTGGCTCAACCAATCAGCCGCCTCCACCCCCCCGCCCTCCCCCCCCAAAAAAAAAAACCTCAAATACATTTTGAAGCCAATTTGTTTCTGTGCTGGTTATTTCCCAGTAACTGAGTACTACATTAGTGATAGTGATAAACCTACTGCCTTTTTGTTATGGTTGGTCACAAAGTAAAAAAAGCTAAACACAATTCACTTATTATAATATTTCTGTTGAAAATGCTCTATGTATAGAAATGCGGACACATTACAGCAACATATACTGAACTGAATCACGTTAAACTGATTGGGAATTAACATGAAAACCTCAAGAAAATTGCATTAAGCATCAAATCATTCCACTTATATAAGTTGCGACAGCAGTATCATCCCTCCCTGCAGTGACAGTTCACAGGCTCTGGGTGTGTCTGACCACTAATGATTTTTATCTCTGTTAAATTAACCGTTGCAGAAACCTCATGGCAGCGTCAATAGTTTGGATGCAGGTTTAAACACAGACACAGTGGTGTCTGTGGGAGACAGCGCTGATGAACTGCAAGCGTTTATGATGATGAACACACTGCGTGTTTACAGCCCAGCCATAGGCAGGATTTAATCACTAACAGAGTCACAACCATATATGTTAACCTTAGCTACTAAGGTCAATACAATTGGGATTAAGGTTGAGTGTGCAAGAACTTACAAACGTAAAACACACGATTACATTAAATTTATCCCCAGGAATTTAAATGACAATGGATCAATAGTTCGACTGTGTTCTTATTCATATTCTAAAAGTACAGTGAAAGGGTCTGCATACCTCAGGTTGTTTGTGTCTTGCTATAAACTCTGGTGAGGACAAGAACTGGGGCAGCCATACTTTCTCAATGTAATTCTTGACGATTTCCTGAACCATTTCTGCGGCCTCAACTGTGAGACTCTCAAACTTCAGTTTGTCTGGTCCACCAGTCAGGTCAAAGACCTACAGAGAGAAGAGAAGAAGAATGAAGGCTTCAGAAGATGCACAGAGCTGGAACACAGATTTGTTTGAGACTGGACTGAAGTGTATAAAAGATTAATATATTGGAAGAAAACATGAGGTGAGGGATAAACTGCCTACACTGAGACAGTGGATTAAAAACTGTTCTCCTCCTGCTGATCCCTGCTGTTCTCTTCATCTCCCCCGTCTGCTTTCTCTCCTCAAACATCACTCTGACCACACTCTCCTTTTTTATTTTTCTTATACATTTTTCTCTCATTTCATTCTGCACGCAAAAAGACATGCATGTGTGCTTGCACTCGCTCATACAAAGGCTTAAGAAATGAGAACCAGTCGCGGTACTGGAGCTAAAGTAAGGAGATGAAAGGGATGCAGTCTGAGACTGGATGATGGAGAGATTGAGAAAGTGAAGGGCCAGAGCAATAAAGCTGTCAGTCTGTACAGATCTCACGCAGACGAGAACCAACTCTGTGATGTCAGAACAGCAGCCAGACCACATCCCACTGAGTTAGGAGGCCCAGAATCTGCATCCTCATTAAACTGCTGCCTCATAGTGACTTTTTGATCGTATTTATGAGATGAGGATGACAAATGACAAAGATCAGGCTACAAACCAGAGTTTAGTATAAGTCAACAATTCAGTATGATCACCTGAATCTTTGACCTAAGCTTATTTGTAACAGTTTAATAAGGACTTATTTGTATGTTATCATATTGATGCACACATTTTTTGGTAGCTTGTTTACTAAGGAAGGAGAGCCAGTACTGCCACAACCTAGTGTGGTAGTGTCATGTTGTCATTCCTCCCAGGCACTGTTCTGTGCCATGAGGCATTATCAGGTGTGCTGTGGAAAATTATCCAATTTCAGATAATTAGTCCAAAAACTACAATTTATTTACTCTAAATAATTATAGTTATTTCAGCCCTGCTCTCATTTCCCCCAACCTATCTACAATAGGCAACCCTGGCTTTTCAGGCATGACTGCTAGAAACTAGGAGATCATTACAGGTCATTACATATACTTTGTGTGGTATTTTGGTTGGGTTTTCTAATGTAAAATATAAGCAGTGACTCAACAAACTCTGGGAAACACTGCTCTATGGAAATCCACAAGAATGAAGCTTTTGAAGATTTTTTATATAACTGTAGCTTTTTATCTCTCCAGTTAGGAGTGATTAAAAAAACAGATTCCAGCTCAGGGATGTCTGTAACTTCGACAGTTTTGAGGAAATTACCAAATCAGGTTTAAATGCAACATAATACAGAAGAAGCACAGGTCTGAAAATGCAAATAAATCATTACTATAAGTAGTCCTGCTCTGACCCAAAATCCCAGGAACTAATCTCAGACTATAAATTGCATCAGATTTTAGGTTAGGTACAATAAAATATAGAATTGGCCTTAGTCTCATTGTACATACAGTTAGACATATACTCCTAACAAACTTTTTTCTCTGCATTTAAGCACTCGTGAAGGAGCATGGAATTTTGGCACTTGCTCAATGCAGCAGAGCCGACCATTGCAGGATTCAAACCTACAATCCTCTAATAGGCTACCTAGTGGTAAATTATCATCATGTTCTCTCCTCCATCCAAATCCTCCTACCTCTGGTTTTAATTCTAACCATGCCCTGTCATCTCTGTGCTGCAGCGACAGTCTGCTGTCAGAACTGTCAACATGAGAACAGCAGGAGGCCAGAGCTGGGAAACTGTGCAACCTCTGTCCATCGCATGTGGACAGAGCCCATAACATGGCTCTAGTCATGTGATTGTTGGGCTCTGTCTCAGACTCCTTTATACTAAACTGGTGTATGCTGATACAGTTGAACATTTTGTGGTTTGTATTGTGTTTCTGGTGTACTGTACCTCATCCTGTTGTTGCACTGTGGCGGGGCTGTTGGGACCAAAGAAGTACATCCTGTTGAGGTATTTGGTTGCAATCTGGACAGACCTTTCTTTCTTGACAAGCGCATCTTCACGACTTCTCCTGTACTGTTCCAAATCTCCAAAGCATTCCATGTGAATACTGTGCAAAAACATTAATTTTTCGTTAAATGCACTTTATTTGGCACATTTTTAGTACATGTCATATATGTTACCTGGCGTCATGCTCCTGGAGGAAAACCATGAAATATCCAGGCTCATGGCGGTGACGAAGTAAAGCATCAAGACTGTAACCTTGGTACCGTTGAGGTACTCTAGACCAGGACTCAGACAAATGGGGGTCTTTTAAAGATACAGGACCCACAGAGGGCAGGGAGAGAGCCTGTTGAAGCAGTAAGTAAAGGAAAGTGAACTACTTGTCTTTGTGACACAGCACACCACTGCACACAACCAAATGTGACCTCTGCTTTTAACCCATCACCAAAGTGAACAGTGGGCAGCTTTTAAGCGCCCAGGGAGCAGTGTGTGGGGACGATGCCATGCTCAGAGCACCTCAGTGATAACTTGGCAGCTGGTGGACTTGAATCTGAAGACTTCCGGACCCAAGTCCGCTTCCTTAACTACCAACCCACCACTGCCTTAATTCAGGATGTGAAAAATAACCTACGCTAATATTATATATACAGTATATATATTATAATATATACACGCACTACAGAATTAATTAATCATGATTAATCCACAGTGATTATAATCAATCTTATTAAAATTTGTAATCCAACCCAATAATTTGTTTAAATATTTTTAAAGTGATTCTGCCTATCACTGGCTCTCTCTCAAATTAATTGTTATTCATCCTACAGGAGAGGGTTGATCTGCAGTTATTACAGACAATTGTATTTTTTGTCTAAAAAGACTAATTCATTAATTAATTAAGCAGCTACTGACTGACCTCTCTCAATCGGCGCTCTGATTCCTCCAGAGCAGTCTGCAGCTCCCTGTACTCCTCACCAATCACCTCATGCGTCTCCTCATATAACTGCACCTGGAGGGTCATACAGTAAGGCCAAATGGAAGAGGTGGATTATAATATTATAACCGAGGCAGATATATTTCCAGACAAAAATATGAATCTGGAAAATAATAGACACATGGAAAAGACTATTTAAACATTTGGGATAAACATCTCTGTGGTTTCTCTGAATGTTGATTTTGACATTGAAGGTTTTTGATTTGAACTTGTGATGTTTTCTTGTTACTCATTAAATCATCATATTTGAAGTTCAATTGGCTGTCTGTGCCCTAAGATTACCTTCTGAAAAGACTCCTGGTCATTGCTGACCAAGAGCACCCACGGCTCCAGTAGGATGTTCAGGGTGTGCTCCTCAGCTTTGTCAAACAGCTCTTCAAAGGCTGGCTTCAGTTGTTCCTGCACCTTCCTTCTGACTTCTTCATCCACGCCGATGCTTCTCCCAGCATAGGTGTACAAATATGTGGTGAAGAGGAGCTGCAGGCATGAAGAGTGATCATGTACAGGAAACATTATTCCTCCATGACCCCACTCCCACACTGCTCTCAATGCTAGCATTCACACATCAGTGCTGATGTGACCTCCCATCAGATAAATGTTAGTCTTGAACTTTACTGACTACAGAACGATGAGAAGATCATCTAAATGCCCCAAAGATTAATTGAAGAGAAAAAGGTTTCCCTGTGAGGTATTCTGGATCACACCGCTCTGTTTTTCTCCCTGCAGCTGTAGTTAGACAGAGTGGTTCTGGCTGAATAAACTGGTGCAGCAGACCCCACGGGGTTGATCTGACTCACTTGATTTTATGAGGGTTTAAATCTTTTTGCTTAGTGAGGGGTAGAGAAGCAGTGCAGAGAATGGGAGAGGCAGCACTAATGGAGCTTGCAGCGAGGTCAGGTGCACATGTGAGCAAAACACTTTTAACTACTACAAGACATTGCCTTTTTTTATTCTTTTGGCAGTTTTGTTTCTACAACAACCGTGTTGTGATTAAGGAGTGTGATTTGCCTTTTTTTGTAGAAGACTATGTTAATAATCCATAATTGCAGTTGTGTTGGCTTTAACCTATTTTCCACAAAGATATGATTTCACTGGAATATATTGTACCTCTTTATTTTTACTACATAAAATTAACTTGACATTGTACAGTTGGCTTTGGTGGAAATTCAAAAATATAAAACCATGGACAGTTTATCTTCTGAAGTAATGTTTTTTTTTTCACTTCTAATGGCCATGATGTGATCCAAAAAAATTGTTTTGTGACAGAAAAAAACCAATATACTAAAAAGTATCAGGAAGCGAGTAGAGTTCAGATGCCTGAGTTGTTTTCCCCATTTTCTTTAAATAAAAACAAAGGAAAAAAATGTGTCTTTTATTGCTCAAAATTTCTAAGATGAAAAGTAGATACTGTGTGTGCGTGTGTTTTTTTAATGTGATCACACTAAAATCCTATACTAATAATTTCCTGAAAAAGTTTTCAAAATAAAAGTTTCTCAAAAATGACTAAAAATGCACTAATTTGCCTTAAAATAATTAGCTATGTCAATTTCTGTGGTTAAAATTCAGAAAATATATAATTTTTTGATATGCCAACTTTTGATCACAATAAAATACTATACTGATAATTTCCTGAAAAAGTTTTCAAAAATAAAAGTTTTTCAAAAATGACTTAATATGCACTCATTATCCTTAACCCTCCTGTCTTGTTCACCCCACACCCCTGACTTTAGTGTTCTTGTTCAAATTTGACCGGCCTGTTTTAACTGCTCTTAAACTAACACAAAAACTATCAATCACCACCAAATTTTTATTGGACTCTTTAGCTGAGAACAATGCCCCAGAGTAGTGGTTAACATAAAAAACTACATTCAAAATACAAAAAGGCACTGAAAATGTATAACAATGAATGTAATGTAATATAAAAAAAAGGGGAAAAAAGGGACCAAACTCAACATGAAGTGTATGTGTGTGTATGTACTTTGCACTGACCTGGGCCACCCTCTGCACTCTGTACGGATCCAGACCATCTTGGTAGAAGAGCTCATGATAGTGCTGCAGGTCAGTCCAGAAGTAAACTGCATTCACCCACAGCTGAGACAGGAGACAGTTTTCACTTGTTTATCCACCACTGTGCCAAGCAGCATCCATAACATATCGTAGTGAACATTGTATTGTAGGTGTATTTGTACCTGGTTTCCGGACTGCACACAAAAGTGTGTGAAATAGGATCCGGTGCGTGACTCCACAAACAAAGCATGCGACATCTTTTCCATGCTTTCATTTTCCTGTGCCTGAGAACATAATGTTGTTTATATCATCAGAGGAAGGAACAATGACAGGCAGTGACCATTCAGTTTGAGATACAGTCTAAGCCTTGACACGAGAAAATAAATGGCCAGGATACCAATTTAAAAACATTCAGAGTCAATGTAAAATCCTAAAACTGTATTATGGCACATGTTGCCTGATCTTCTGGTGTACTTTGTGTTTGTTTGCCTTTTTTACAAGATGGACTACAATTAAATGACTTGAGAAGTTAATGGTGGTGCATATTATTTTTGAAGGATTTTTTAACCATGAAAAATCTACTTAAATTTCCAATAATTGTTTTAATTGCACTCATTCTGAGATGGAAAGAACTTTGAATAGTTGCATTACAATAACTAAGAACCTTTTTTTTTACAAACAAAATGTCAAATTGCAAGGTAAATATCATTATAAAGAGTCTGTTCCAGTAAGTATTTGGCAGGTTGCAAAGGTTCTGTGTTTCTCTGTTTGCTCCTATACATTATACCAAACATTTCCTTAATTTTATGTCTGATTGATGGAAAATGAAAAAGACAAATTGAGGAGACTCGTACACCCACCATGTCCTCTTCTAAAAGGGCAGGAATGGAGGGTTGGGTCAAGGAGGTGTCTGAAATGTGAGGCACAGTGGAACTGTCACAGCGTGGTTGTCTGACCAATGAAGGCGCACTCCACAATTCTGTCCACAGCCTGTTATGTTGATCTTCATGATCTTCTTCAGCTGCTTCAGAAGTCCAGAATCGTGGAGCCCTTAAAAAAAAAAAAGAAACACTTTTTTTTCACTTTCATAGTCTCATATCAATGCTTGTACTTTGTATGAAACAGGGTAGTACAGTATCTGTAATGGTAAAAGTGTAACTTCTCTAAACTACTTAAAAGGACTAAATTATACAGATTTCCACAAACATAGTTAAATTCAGGTTAAAAGCTGAATAGTCACCAATAGTGAAGCAGGTCCTTTGTGAGGCAGGGTTGAACTGAACGTAATTTCTCCTCTGTCCAGCAGGGGGAAGTCTTTAGCCCAAGTGTAGAGAGCAGCTCGGGGTTAAGGCTGCTGTGACTGCTGCTGAGTAGGTATCTGCTCCTAATCAGGACCAAAAATCTGAAACGAAACACCACATCACACACTGAATACTGATTTAAACAAAATGATGTCTATGATATACTGGTTTAACACCAAAGAGAAAAATTTGTCAGATCTTTGAAGGAGACAGTTGCTCACCTGTTCTTTCGTTCGGTGTCCTGTAGTGATTTCAGTTTTTCTATATCCATCCACAGACTAAGTAATTTTTCTCCTGTGGTTCCTTGCAAAAACTCTTTAAACTCGTCTAAACCTGGTTTATTTTCCTGGTAACATGTACCAGGATGACAAATGTCACAGACGTTTCCCAGGTCTATATTCCAGGTTCTCTCATCTGTTTTCTTCTCAGCCAACTGTGACTCCTGCTCCTCTCCAAGACCTTTGAATTCACACAATTTTTCTTTAGTGGTAAAGTTTGTCTGCTCGCCTGGTATGTTGAAACAGCCAAATATGTTTCCCTGGCACACATCATCCATTGTGCTCAATTGTTTAACTAAACTGGCAGGTGCAAACTCCAGCTGTGGTTCAGAGGGCTCACAGTACTGGCTGCTGGACTGTGTGAGAAAATCCATCTCCAAACCGCCTGTGATAGTCTGATTAAGAAAATCCATCTCCAAACCGCCTGTGATAGTTTGATTAAGAAAATCCATCTCTGAGCCGCCTGTGATGGACTGTTGGAAGAAGTCCATCCCCGAGCTGTCTGTGATGGGCTGTTGGAAGAAGTCCATCCGAGCTGTCTGTGATGGGNNNTCTGTGATGGGCTGTTGGAAGAAGTCCATCTCCGAGCTGTCTGTGATGGGCTGTTGGAAGAAGTCCATCTCCGAGCTACCTACTACAGGCTCTGTAAGGCAGAAGTTCCAATTCTCCTGTGAGCTGCCGACTTCCTGGGTTTTATCTTGTTCATCGTAAAAGAAGGAAGGGCACGATGAGGGCCGAGAGGAAAAGCTTGTCATTTTCTCTGGCTCAGGAAAGTCGGCGAATGTCACCCTGTTTTTTGTATCACTGGATTTTTTCTTATCAGAAAGACATGGAAAGTCATGCTTTGTCATCACACCTGGAAGAGATAAAGACATATTAAAATTTCTCTTGAGACAAACATTTTTAAGCTTGAACTCTTCAGTGTGAACCTTGTATAGATGAAATGTTCTCCAGAGAATGTGATCTCTTCAGAGGATCTGGTGCATCATGACTTTGACCGACAAACTCAGAGGACATGCCCAACTGTGGGGCTGACTGTGACCTCCTGCTTGAGCCTCTCTTCCTTCTCTGGACACCAAAGCTCGACTCCCACCGACACAATAATTTGGCAAGTCTAAAAAAGGACACACATTTACAAGGTTGATATAGAATGTAGTACATTTACTCTGGGTGTAAATGACTTTAAACACATGGATGATTGTGCGACACAAGTCCTTTTCAAATACAAAAACCCAACATATTGTTCTCGGTAAAGATACACACTAATTATAACAGGAGGAAAATAAAACAGAAATGTTAAAGGTAATGTTTTTGGTTTTTTTTGTCTTTCACGGCATGTGTGTTTGTAGGTTAAAAAGCACAGTCAGTCACCTGACCTCAGNNATGTGACCTTATGGAGTGTCAACAGATAAATAAGGAACTAGGTGGATAAAAATAAACAGAAGGGCAAAAATAGCAGTGAAGCTAAGGGAAAAAATATTGATAAATAAAAAATTGCAAATACTATACTTACTGATAATCACATTTAAGATATAATGCATTGCATAGGAAAGAGTTAATTGCGTTTAGGTCAGTAGCTAAGCACAGTGGTTATATCAGTTAAAGTGAAAAGTGAGCAAATGCAAGATGCTGCTGCCCTGAATGGAAAGACACGAAGTTAAACCTAATTATGTAATAAAAATTCTATATAAACTTAAAATATGCATACTACTGGAGTTTTAATGTATAATGCAAAAGTATACCGCATGAGCCAACATTAGTATTACCTGTACTCAAAGTAACAGTCACTCTGGAGGAAGAATGGCAACCTTTCACTCATGATCCACTCCAGCCCTTGTTCTTTGTCCAGACACTGCAAAAGCATAGGACAGATTTGTCCTGTCAATCCTCTACAACAGAAATGTCCAAAACTTTTTCCAAAAAGTTTTAAGGTCCACCACACTGCACAACAAGTCACAGTACTACATACAGTCTGCTATAAACTGCAATACAGGCATCTGATTATCTTCGCCATCAGGCTTGTCTATGAATAATCATATGACTTATTGTCTTCTCACAGAGACAGGGTAGCGGTTATCCACAGGGGTAATGGTCAGCAGTGAGGGGTCACCCATGCTGAGCTGTGACTTCGTCTCCTGGAGGACAGATCTGATTTTTCTGGCGATTAACTCTGCCTCTTCACTGGCCACTTCAAAGACCCCAGTGTTCTGGTTAAAAAGTAGAGTCTCTGAAAAGCACTAGGAAAATATGGCATCAGTTAGGTGTAATACTTTGGGTGATGTGACGTAACATGCTGTAAAGCTACAGTACCAGTGTGTTTAAGAAGTCGTTGAAGAAATGTGACAGAACGTCATCAGATGCGAGTGCATCTTCCTGTATGAAAATAAATATGATCGTTTTTAATGGTGTGTTACCTTGAAAATTGAAGAATTGTTTTATAAGAAAAATAAACTTTTACTTACAAAATTGTCAGAAGTTATTTGTGGCAACTCTGTAAATACAACAAAAAACTCGGTTAAAATTCAATACCTAAGCACTTTGAAAAGTGTAGTTAATCTGGAGAATAATTCATCAATAATTCATTCAACATGTGTTGAAAACAAATCTATTAGATTAGAAGATGATTCTGTAAAACGTCTGGTTCACCAGAGCCCTTTGTGGGACACTTTGGAACCATATATCTACTTCACTAAAGAAAAATATTTAAAAAATTAAATATACATTTTTATAGTTTTAGGTTTTTTGGCCAATGAAATGTTTTGTGCAGGATTGGTGAAGGAAAAACTACAGTAGAAATACATCAAGTAAACACACAATCATAAAAATGTAAGTTTATTAAATTAAAAAATCTATTTTTGTTTTCTCAGTGATTTGCCATTTTGTTTTTATCATATTTATTAAACAACACTTTTTATTGACCCTAGGTTATGGGTAAAAACAAAGTTTATTAAAGTATTTTACATCACCCTACAATACTATTGGGAGACTTGTGATGATGCTTTTGAAAAGTTGGGCAGATATTTCTTTTGTTATAGAACATTGATTTTGTTGCACATTTGAAACCCTCAGCCTTTGCAGACTCTTCATCTCATCAATTTCTATTAAATTTCTCTTAATTCGTGACCATTTTCACTGCAACACGTTATATTTATAATTCTGGAAACATCTGAGGAGTGATACCTTTCAATCATGAATTTTTGTTTCTGCCGCAGCATGCAAGCCACACATCGACAAAATCCTCAACAATAATAATAATAGCTGAACTTTGTAGCACAAACTAAACAGTGACATCTAACTTCAAAAATTTATATCTTGGTGTTACTGCGATACACTTTGTAGGTGTAAACACAGTCTCATTGTCAGTGCTAAGGCTCTGATAGTAAAAAATACTTATTTTCAGTGGCATTCTTACCTATAGAAATTGTTGCATACATGTTCACCTCTGACAGTAACACCTCAGTGTGTTCTGGGAGTCTGGATTGTATGGCAGCAAATAAAGTCACTTTACTACCTTCTTGGCCTTTACTCTATTGGCTCGTTTCTTCTGGTGGTTGGGGGGGACATTTCATGGCAGTTGGCATTAAAAA